AAAAAAAAAAAAAAAAAAAATATCTAACGAGTCTTCTAACTTTTTAGAAAATAGTTTTTATTGACGTTCTTGTCTCTTAAATTTAAAACTAATGATTTATATTTGTATTTTCGTTTTTTTAAAAAATATTTTTAGTGTTTTAATGGATTGGCCTGTATCAATGAAAAGGACAACGAATATACAAGTAACAAGTAAAGAAGAATACAAGAAACAATATTCTGACGCTTTAAAATTTAGTAAAAACATGAGTATTGTTTTAGAAAACCTGTTACGTGACTACGATAGCAATCAAAGACCTGGATATGGAGGTTTGTATACGTGTATACATAATAAAAGTAGTGTTAATTTCATCAGACATTTCAGTTATATCTCCTTTAGGCTTTTTTACTACCTATTTAACAGTAAAACTAGGTAATACCTCGATTTAACGCTATTCAGATTAAACTTTCTTAACTTATTTTTACTTATTTCACAACACTAAAACTAGGTTACACCTTGATTTAATTCTGTTCAGGTTATATTTACTGAGGTTTTTTCCACTTCTTAATGCTAAAACACGATTATACTTCGATTTAATGCTATCTATATAATACTTTCTTAGCATTTTGAATATTTTTTTGCTACTTACTTTATGTTAAAATCGAGTTAAACTTCGATTTAACGTTGTATAGTTTATAAATTTTAGGTTTTTCTTTATTCATTTACTTCTTTGCCAACGTGTTGTAGGTGTTTTTACTCGTGTGTACAAAGCACAAGTAATATTATTACGTTAACACCTCATCAAGAAATGATGCATAATAATGTACAGTATAATTTAATCAGGCATTTAACACTATCTAGGTTATACTTTCTTGTAGTTTTTTTACTAAGTTTTTCCTTTTTTTTTTCTTAGTGGCTAATGATCGATCAAGTTAATCTTGATGGCTGTTTAATCAGTCATTAACTAGAACAGAAACGGAAGTTTGTTTGCCACTAATCACACGAATTTTCTTCTTGTTTTCTCTGATTTAAAAACAGGAGCGCCAACTGTCGTTACTACCAACTTTTTGATAAGGAGCATGGGGCCCATTTCCGAAGTGGACATGGTAAAGGCCTTAATTATACCTTTATGTAGACCTTGTAGTATATAAAAATCTTTTATAACATGTAAAAAAAAATATTCCTCAGGAGTATTCTATGGACTGTTATTTTCGTCAGAAATGGACGGATAGAAGATTACGTTTCGATGGCCCTATAAAAAATTTGAGTTTAAATATAAAAATGTTGGATCGAATTTGGAAACCCGATACGTATTTTCATAATGGGAAAGGTTCCTATTTACATACGATAACTCGACCAAATAAACTCTTAAGAATCTTCCAAAATGGCGAAGTTTTGTACTCGATGAGGTAAGTATATTATTTTTAATCGATTTAAATTTAATTTTTATGATAAAAATGTACAGTCGAACCTCTAATGACGGCCATCTCCCAACTACGGCCACTTTAAAAGGCGCCATTTAAAAAAAAAAATAAAAATAGATACAAAATAACTTCTCAAAGACGGCCACTTTAAACAATCGTCATGTATTTTAATTAGAGTGTATACGAAATAACCTCTAAACAACGAGCATTTTCCGTCAGTAGACGTTGTTCAGAGGTTTGATTGTGTTTTTTTTTTTAATTCTTTAATGGAAAATGCATTAAATATTACACTAGAACCTTTAGTAATGGCCACCTCTCAAGAACGGCCAATTTAAAAACTCTATTTCTCTCAGGAAATTTTCTTAAACAACAATGTAACAACCTTTAAAGAATGGTCATTTTTTTTTCTTGTTGGTCGTTGTTCAGAGGTTTCACTGTATTAAAATATCAAATTATAAGAAGGAAAATTCGATATTTTAATGTGTAATTTTGATATTTAGATGGTTAAATTAGTCAAATATTATATAATTTTGGCATAAAAAAATGAAATTAGTTCTTCCAAGAATCAACAAATTCTACGAAATTTCACGTAATTTTGAGTGTTCAAAAAGGAAATAAAATAATAAAAATTTTAAATTTTATCATTTTAATGTGTAAATCTGATATTTAAAACGTAACATTAGTTTAAAATTACCATAATTTTGATATTTCAAATAAAATTTAGTTTATTTAGGATTAAATTTATTCAAAAATAAAAATTAGAAATTATAAAGTATTTAAGTATTTAAAATATTAAATTAATTTTAAAAAATACAAAAAATGGCATGATTTTGACATTTNGCACAAATGTAGAGGATATTGAAAGGATTGTTGTTCCTGATTCTTTATATATTGTTGTGGAAAAATATGATTTTGACGAGATAGGAGAGTGTACATGTAGAGGATTTGATCCCGGGATCTCGAAAATCGGGATCCCGGGATCCCGACTACTTTTCAGTCCCAAAATTTTCGGGATTAAGTTTTCCTAATCCCGAGATTTTCGGGATTGACATCATTTTAAAAAAGTTGAAAAATAGACTGCATGAAGCGAAACGTTCAGTGCCAGTGCTTTTACAGAATTGCTTGCATATCATTTTAATATAAAATATGAGAAATTAGAATGAAAGTGAATTCCAAATATTGTTCGAAATTTCGATTAATTCTGCACTTGAAACGAATTTAATTCGTATGAAATCAGGTTAAAACTACGGAAAATTCAAAATTACACTACATTGAATGTAATTTCCACATTAAAAAATGAAGTTAATTTTCTATAATTAATTCTCATTTAAAAATTTAGGGAATTTTTTGAAAATTAGGGAAATTAATTGTCATTAGGAAAAAGTAGAAAAATTTAGAGAAATTGGAGAAATTTCATCAAGGAAAATTGGGGAAATTAAGAGAATTTTTTGAAAATTAGAGGGAAATTTGGGGAAATTAAGAGAATTTTTTGAAAATTAGGGGAAAATTTGGGGAAATTAAGAGAATTTTTTTGAAAATTAAGGGAAATTTGGGAATTAATTTTCCCTGATTCCCTAATCTGAATTAATTTTTAAAAAAATTCAAAATTAAGTCAATTTAAAATACAATTTTATCCTGATTTTCCTTTTTTAGAAGACAATTTCCTGTATATTTAACTCTAGACATGCAAGCATAGAGAAAGATGCTCTCCTTTGTTGATATTGTATAATATTTTCATATTCTACGTCACTTTATTCGTCTCTTCTCATAACTTTTCTGTTATTTTATGGTAAACATGACAATGTTTCCGTCTGAAATCTTTTCAACCACTCATCACTGAACAAACACGAGAAGATTCTTGGAAATAAAACGAAAAAATTAATAATAAAAAAAACAACGTTTACTCGCTTCTATCTTCCAAAAGAACGTTGATTTGTAAACGTTTTTAACGTTTTTTTCTGCATTAAAATGTTTAATTGAGTTTTTACAATTAAATTTTAATATTTGTTTTTAATTTAATTGTGAAAATTGATGAAGATTCGATGATTTCGTTAATTATTTTATGCGCTTTTTTTGAGTGGGGAGACTTTCTAAGTTTTAATTATGTTGTTAAATTATTTTCACTTATTGGTGTTTAATTTAATTAAATATTTTTAATTAAGTTACGGTTAGTTTCGTCTGTAAAATAGCATCGTTTAAAGTGTGGAATGAGTTATTGCCTATGTTTATTTTACTTTTCCAATATTAGTTGTGTCTTTCTGTTACTGGATATGGATTCCAGAGCTAATTGAGCCTACTTTAATGTTATTTTTGCCTTTCTGATGCTAGAAAAGCAAAAGGTAATGTGTTTTACAGGTGTATTTCTAGTGTCGTTTGCCTTTCCAAAATATTCAGTGTAACCTTCCAATGCTAGTTGTATTCTTCTAATACTATTTGAGGTTTATAGGATTACTTGAGCCTTTCTAGTATGGTATAGTGGTTTCTTCGGCCAATTTAAGCCTTTCTAAAACCACTTTTATTGCTTTTAGTAGCAGACTTATCTTTCGAGTATTAGTTATTAGTTGTTTTACTTTTACTGACTAGGAAAATTAAGCCTTATCCTTTTAATATATCCTATACTCTTACCATATAAATCCTTCTACTAGAAATATATATTTAATACCAGTAGTTGTAGTTGTACATTTATAATATCAACTATAGTTTTCTAGTATCAAATGTTGTGTTTCTAGTATTAATTAAGTCTTTTATTACTTCAGTATCAGCTATTCTTTCTAGCATTATCTATGAGATTCTAGCTTAATTAGGTTTACCAGCAACGAATTACGTTTATTTTCTTGTAATTTTTTGTACCTTTTATTGCTTGTGTTTTATAGTGTTCAGTTATGCCTTTCTAATATCATTTGAACGTTTTTATTTAGCTGTATATTTCCAATTTTAGCACACTTTTTTGCATATTTCCTATTTAAAATATGTCATTTAAGTATCAGTTGTTACTTTCATTTTCTCGTGTTACAGAGTTAAATGTACTTAAATTGTAATTGTCTTTAAGTACAGTTCATCAGTATTTATTTTATAGTATTGTACTGATCAATTGTATTAATTAATTAATGGTAAAGAATAATTAAACACAATCGAGTTAATTTTAACTGTAATTTTATAATGTTAATTATACATTCAAAATATTAATTATATTTAGAAATTAATTGTATTTTACTACTCTTTAATCAGTCTTTCCTAGTATTAGTTGTACCATTTTAACGTCACTTATATTTTTATAATAGTGATGTTTCCAATGTAAACTGTACTTTTCTAATGTTAGTTATACGTTTACAATATTAATTATTATACTTTTACAGTATTTAATTAAACTTTCCTAACTTTAGATGTGTCTGTTTTATTGTTAATTGTGTGTTTCTAGTGTTAGTGTGTGTTTATATTAGTTGTATCTTTCCAATATTAGTTGTAACTAGATGCAAAGATGATTAATATTCTTCTGATCTTCTCCTTTCTACGCCAGCATCCACTTTATCACAATGTTTATCCTGAGGCTAAGAAAAATTCGATTCGTTTCTCCATTTCACACGATTTCTAAACGCGATGTTTTCTAAGCTATCCTAAATTTACTCAACTAGAAATCTTGTCAACATTAATTTCACTTTTTACCAGATTTCCAACAACTTTTTTGGGGGAAAAAATATATAAAATATCACATTTATTTTTAGACTTACAGTAAAAGCAACTTGCCCAATGCAACTGCAGAATTTCCCTATGGATAGACAATTTTGTCCCCTAATTTTTGGGAGTTGTAAGTACCTAAGACTAGTTTATAACACTTAAACTATTACGTTTTTTACACGTATTTTTGTATTAATTCAGATGGTTATACTGTAAAACACTTAATATATCGCTGGGAAACGAAAAGTGCCATCACGTTTGAAGAAGGTTTGGTCCTTTCTCAGTACGACCTTATCGATTACCCACACAGAAACGTAACAGTTACATTCAATAGAGGTATGTCTTTTACATAAAATTCCATTAAATTTATGTAATTTTATGAATTTTTGGGGGTATTTTCAGGCGAATTTTCTGTACTTAAAGCTAACTTTAACTTAAGGAGACGAATGGGTTATTTTCTTATACAAGTTTACGTGCCATGCACACTGATAGTCGTACTATCGTGGGTGTCTTTTTGGATTAATAGAGAAGCTACATCGGATAGAATTGGATTAGGTGAGTTTAAAACTTTTAAACTTCTTTTAAATTCCATTAAAATTTATAAACTAAACTTTAATTCATCACCAAATTTAAGGTATCACGACAGTGTTGACACTGTCTACTTTCGGTTTGGATACAAGGACCGATTTGCCAAAAGTACCTTATCCGACAGCGCTAGATTGGTTCGTTATCATGAGTTTTATGTTTGTTATAGCAACATTACTAGAATTTGCGGGTGTACATTACTTTACAAAGGTTGGAAGCGGTGAATTTCCTATCGCAGACAGCTCGGATAACGAAGAGAAGATAACAATGATGAACACGAACACCCCTACAAGGCACTACTGTCCTACAATTTATGGCTATCAGACTGATCACGTAAGGGTTTCAATTACGATTTCCTTACAGAATATTAAATTTTACTTGTTAATTTTGCATGTTTTTTTTATGTAGAAATGCCCCAAGTATCCACGTTACACGGCTAAATTGTCATACTTCAATCGATATTCTAGAAATTGCTGTTATCAGTTCTGGAATTGTATATTGGGGAGTGAAACATACAGAGCAGAGATGCTGAGTAGAGTCCAAGGAAAGGATGCTATCAATAGTGTTAGCAAAATTGATCAGATATCACGTATCTTGTTTCCATTATCCTTTGTTTTATTGAATATCTTCTATTGGTTATTTTATACAAGTGAAACTTATTCCTCCAATAGAACTAATAGAGAACTTCATTCTATAAGCAGCTAACAAATATAGGTCCGTATGACTATGTTAAATCTACTAAATCTATGTTAAAAATATTTAAATATGTTTAAATAAAGTGCTTATAAATCTTTGTCTGTTAGTTTTATACATAATTTACACGAAAATCTACGTTTAAATACCAATATAAATTTACGTCTAAAGTGATTTATATATAAAGTTAAGTAATTTTTTACAATATTTACATTTACCTAATTACAATTCTTTTACAATTATCTAATGTGAAAAAATTACAAAAATATGACGTAAAATTTGTGTTAAAAAAGTTAATTATGGATGAGTTTTATTAATTTGTTTCTGAACTTTTTTTATTTTTTAAATCGTATTCTAAGTTTTTTACTGTTTTATTTTTTTAAAAACGGGTTTTTTAAATTTAAAATTTACAATTATGTTTAGGAAAAAAATTCAAATTCTTTTAGAAAAATTAAATTAAAATATTCAAAAACAATATAAAATTTTGATATAAAAAATTTAAAAAAATGCAGAAACTTAAATCTTAAAAATTCAAATAAAGTTTTAAAAAAGTACAGAAATTTTGGATATAAAAATTCAAATAAAGTTTTAAAAAAGTACAGAAATTTTGGATATAAAAATTCAAATAAATTTTTTAAAAATACAGAAATTTTGGATATAAAAATACAAATAAATTTTTAAAAAATACAGAAATTTTTGATATAAAAATTCAAATAAATTTTTAAAAAAATANTAGAAAATATTTCGTATACAAATACACATAATTCTAGAAGTATTTGTTGTTTATTAACTTCTAAAATACATCCAGACTAATACCTACATAGCACATGGTCACTAGACCAAGTGTAACAAAGGAGAGAGAGCACATACGTGTTAGTACATAAGGTCATTCTACAAGGGAAGAAGAGGTCATCTCTATATGAACAAAGTGGTTATATAACGTATTCAATACCACCTATATGTAGCGACGATAATATTTGAACCTTGACAGTATTTATATGTACTGTACTACAGTACAGTACAGTACAGTACAACAGGCTACAGTTACAATACACGTGTATTATAAGGTAGTGTCTTATAGTGTACTATACAATAGAAGTATCTGTTATTATAACTAATGATAATAAGTAGCCTTACTATTATTATTATATTTAAGATTGTATAACTTATAGTGTTATTAAACATAATTAACATTATTATTTTGTATTTAATAGTGTATACTTAAGAAATTAATTTAATTGGAACAATAGCTTAGAAGGCATTTAATACATTTTAGTTTAAGTTCTTTTAATATGTATGGACAGAATAAAACTATATAGGGTTAATTTTTCTTAGAACACTTACAGACTCACGTCTATAAAGACAAGAGTACAAGAGTTAATAGTGTGCAATTTTAATGAACCTAAAAGAGCTCAAAATACTTCAATGAAACTTTATCGTGAAAATCATGCTTAATTTATATAATATTTACTTTGTCTGATCGGCTGTCTGTTCTAAGTTCAAGAATATCAAAATTATTTTAATTATTATTTTATTGTTGCAAATAGTAACTTTGGTTTAAAATGATTATTTTAACTCTATACATTGACATAATACTGAAATTAGTTAATTAAAAGGTTGAGTTTTTGCTTTAAATATCGTATTAAATATATTAATCATTTTCTAAAATAACTTTGTTTTTAAATCGGATGAAAACTTTAGAAAAATTTATAATTACGTTTGAAAGTTCAGAATTGGTTAAAAGGAACGTTTGAGAATTTAATAAGGCATAATATATGTGAATAATTTTCAACATGTGGTTCGCGATCACCGCTGAAATAATTTGTGTTTAAATTCGAAATTTTTGTTATTTTCAGAGTTTACATTATAATTTCTTATTTTTATCAATGAATTAATTTATTTTGATGTCAAATAAGGCAAAATATTAAAAAACTATTGTATTTTTTAAAGAAAAAACAGTAGAAATGGCAGTGAAGATGATGCATTTAACATAAATAATGGCATTGTTTGTCTATATTTTTACTAAAATCTAAAATAAATTGATTGATTCTGAAAAAATAAAGACATAACTCTTACTTGATTACAAGTTACTGAGATATAAATTTATATAACTTTATCTAGAAACCACAAATTTTCATTGTAAAAACACAAATAAATTGCAACAATTTCACTAAAAGATATATATTTATTTATTTTTTTCTTATATTTTTACTTCACCTTAACTCACAGTTGATGGAAGTAGTCATTAAAAATATATACAGATTTTTCTTTGAATTTCGTGATTGCCAAAAATTAATTTCTTCTTCTCTCTACAAGAACTGTCTTGCCACACACACACACATATATATTAATTTCTTTAATTATATTTATTATTATTATAGTTCTTTGTGTAACTATCTAATGTCAGATGAGTGCTATAAGTATGTGAGCCAATAAACTATATTGATCATGATGAAACAAACTGGAAAGAACACTCTTGATATGCGATCAATTTTACTAACGCTGTTCAATTGGAAGTGATTTGCTGCTGTACTTCTTAAATTCCTCCTCAACAGAAAGGAAGATCGTTTATTTAATGATAAACGACCCAAAATTCGGCCATTTGTTGATAAACGTTGCCTTCTTTCACTTTGAGAAACGGATGGATCAGATATCCTTCTATGGTATCCTGTTGCATCTCTAGAATCTTTTCGTTGAATGCCTTCCATACAATATACAGAAATCTATATATAGTAAAGAAAATTTATATTAAAATCAACGTTTATCATGTTTTAAGTTAAAAACGTTCCTAGATTAACAATTCAAACTCTTTAAGATTTAGTTTTAACTTGTAAATTGATGTCCTCGAGTCCTCAAGTTCTACTTTGGCCGTTCAACTAAGATTATTGATGTTAATTCATAAATTTTATGAAATTGGCAACTTATCATATGTGTTAAATGTGTTATAAACTTTGTTGAAAGTACAATTAGTTAATAATTTGATCTATCTTTGCTTCAAAATTCTAAATTACCTAACTGGCAATTGAGCCATTTTTGGAAGTGATTTTCGTGAGGATACCTATGGCATGTCTTGCATTAATTTATCACGAACTTATTGAGTGTAAATACGTTGTAATGAGATAAATTTGTGGATATTTTGGGTATTAAACTTAATTATATTGAGGAGACTAGTGAGAGTGATGGATTCTTGTCATTAAGGAAAGCATCAAAGTGATTTCTTTATAATTGCTAACAATAAAGTTATTTATATGGCTAATTTCTATCATTACTTAATTCTGACGTTAATTTTACTTTGTTAGCAAAGTTTATACAATAAAAATATCTACGTGGTTCTAATTTTAGTGTAATTTAAGAAAAAATATAATTAAATCTATGAGTAGAAAGCCTATATGTAAAAAATCTTGCACAAGTACACAAGGTACAGTACTTTAGACATACACATAGAGTGTATGTTTAAAGTACTGTATATATGTACTGTACTGTACATACTTCTAGAAATTTTATAGAAAATATTTCGCATACAAATACACATAATTCTAGAAGTATTTGTTGTTTATTAACTTCTAAAATACATCCAGACTAATACCTACATAGCACATGGTCACTAGACCAAGTGTAACAAAGGAGAGAGAGCACATACGTGTTAGTACATAAGGTCATTCTACAAGGGAAGAAGAGGTCATCTCTATATGAACAAAGTGGTTATATAACGTATTCAATACCACCTATATGTAGCGACGATAATATTTGAACCTTGACAGTATTTATATGTACTGTACTACAGTACAGTACAGTACAGTACAACAGGCTACAGTTACAATACACGTGTATTATAAGGTAGTGTCTTATAGTGTACTATACAATAGAAGTATCTGTTATTATAACTAATGATAATAAGTAGCCTTACTATTATTATTATATTTAAGATTGTATAACTTATAGTGTTATTAAACATAATTAACATTATTATTTTGTATTTAATAGTGTATACTTAAGAAATTAATTTAATTGGAACAATAGCTTAGAAGGCATTTAATACATTTTAGTTTAAGTTCTTTTAATATGTATGGACAGAATAAAACTATATAGGGTTAATTTTTCTTAGAACACTTACAGACTCACGTCTATAAAGACAAGAGTACAAGAGTTAATAGTGTGCAATTTTAATGAACCTATGTGTAATTAAGCTCATTATCTATGTAAATATAAATAACTTTATAAAGTAACTAAAAGTAATTAAACTTACAAATGAGCTATTACCTAAAAATTTAACCTTAAAAAATATATTTAAACGAAGAATCCTTGAATATAATCAAATTGCCTTATTAAAATCTATCAATAATAATTCCCATTTCTATTATATAACATTATCTTTTCACTAAATATTTAAGGCTTACTAGTATAAGAACATTAAGATATTTTAGATAAAATTAACTTAGTTTATGTTTAAATATTTGAATGTTACATTAAATTCATGTTATGTAATTATATTAATGCCTCATTAATTAATCATAAACTTACAACTAGATACAAAGTCATTTTCTAACGTTTAAACATATTCTAAATTATAATTAAAATCGAATTATCGTTCGTCTAACTGCACATAATGAAACTAATATCATTCTAAATATAATATATATAATAAATATTTAATGAATGTCTAATAAAACAATTTTCTAAGATATCTTGTAAAGATTTTTTATAGAAAAATCAAGACTTTTGAACGTTTTTTTTTATTTCGCAGTTTATCAGAAAAAATATTGAATTTTTTTTTTAATTTCGATATTATAACATTATAATTTCGTGTATTATGTATATATTATGTAAATTTATAACATTATAATTTTTAGATAAATATAATGAAAATTTATCATTTATCTAAAATTATTAATAAATTCTAATAAAATTATAATAAAAATCTCTTCAAATATCAACTAAAATACTTTCGAGTAAACAGATTCCTATTAGTTTTTCTAAAATAAATTATTGTAAAATACATTTTGAAAAGATTTTTTAGAAAAAAAATATTGACAAAATTTAGAAGATTGAAGAAGATTTTGAAAAAAATTTAAAGATTTTAAGATTTTCAGGATTTTTCCTGAAAAAAATTCTTGAAACTCTTCTTCAAAATCATTCCTCAAGTTCAAACTTTTCTAAAAATACTTGAAGAATCAAAAGGACTTTTTGAAAAGTTTGAGCTTGAGAAAAGGACTTTTTGAAAAGTTTGAGCTTGAGAAAAGGACTTTTTGAAAAGTTTGAACTTGAGATTTTTTTAGATTTTCAGATTTTTTTCTTTTTAATTTTGAAGAATTTTCAAAACTTTTGATTTTCTAAAAATCCCTTTGATGTTTCAAGGTTTTTCTAAATTACAAAGGATCTAATTTTGATTTTTTTTATAAATAAATTTTGAAAAAAAATATTAGTTAAATTTTAATCATTAATATTTTTTTTTAAATTTTAGCCGAAATCAATAAATTAAAATAAGATTTTTAGATAAATATCATAAAAAATAAAGAAGATATTCTGAAGTTTACGTTCTAAAATTCTACAAAAAATTTAAAGAAATAATTTAAAAAACCTGGAAAAAGTTTTCTTAAATTTCTTTAAAATTTATTTTGATATATTTCTTTAAAAAATTGTATTTTAATTAATAATAACTGTCTAAAATTTTTAATATAAATAGCTAATTAGTTATTCAGGCATATTTGCATAATTTATTAATATATTTATTTAGTTAAACCAATAAGAGAGCGTTTCGTTTTAAAATTTGTAAATATCATTGCTGATTGGTTATTGGAAATTTAAATACATAAAATAAATATCTTATTGGTTATTATAAAAATTTGCGTAGTTTATTAATTTCAACTAACCAATAAGATAGCCTTTCGTTTTAAAGTTTGTAAATATCATTGCTGATTGGTTATTGGAAATTTAAATACATAAAATAAATATCTTATTGGTTATTATAAAAATTTGCGTAGTTTATTAATTTCAACTAACCAATAAGATAGCCTTTCGTTTTAAAGTTTGTAAATATCATTGCTGATTGGTTATTGGAAATTTAAATACATAAAATAAATATCTTATTGGTTATTATAAAAATTTGCGTAGTTTATTAATTTCAACTAACCAATAAGATAGCCTTTCGTTTTAAAGTTTGTAAATATCATTGCTGATTGGTTATTGGAAATTTAAATACATAAAATAAATATCTTATTGGTTATTATAAAAATTTGCGTAGTTTATTAATTTCAACTAACCAATAAGATAGCCTTTCGTTTTAAAGTTTGTAAATATCACCGCTAATTGGTTAATTATTATTTTAAATTTGTTTAGATTCATTTAAAAAGTTTTTAAGTTAAAAATTATTTTAAACATTTGCGTAATTTATAAATTTATGAATTTAAATCAACCAATAAGAGCGCTTTATTTCAAAATTTGAAAATATCGTCTCGGATTGGTTAATGATTATTTTAAATCAGGAATGTAACTTGTTACGATTAAAAAGTAGATAAATTTATTAATATTAAGTATAAAAATTAAATAATTAAGAATAAAAATATTATTATTATGAACTTGCAATTTTTTCTGAAGATTCATTCGAGGTTTGAGGTCCCGGAGAAGCAATTGTTATGTGTTCTTCGTCACCAGATGAATCTTCTGAGCTGGAATCGGGTGGAAAATAATATTCACCACTACCAATTTTAGTAAAATAATGAACCATAGCAAACTCCACTATAGTAGCAAATATAAAGACAAAACTAATAGCAACATAGAAGTCTAATGCTGTGCAATAAGGCACCTTAGGTAAATCATTTCGACTTTCTAAACCCAGAAAAGTCATTGTTAATACTGTTGTCACACCTGGGAATAGCAAAATTTACGTTAATATCTCGTAGGATTATAATCTTATAAGATTCAATTGGTAATATAATTCAAGGATTATACTATAATCCTTTCATATTAATACGATAGATTTATACAAAATTTTATTGTTTAAATAATTACTTACTTACCTAGAGCTACCCGATCGGCTGTAGCTTCACGATTTATCCAAAATGACACCCAGGAAAGTACAACTAACATGATACACGGTGCGTACACTTCAATGATAAAGTAACCCATGTGACGTTGTAAGTGAAAGCTTACCAGAAGAACAGAGAAAGAACCTGTAAAATAAAGGAAGTTTTCTTTTTAAGTAGAGGGAGGAGGCGGTGTTTTTTGTTTTTTAAGTATTTACAAGAGGACCAGGGATGCAAAAACATTGTAAAAACAACTCTTTGAACTTGAAGGATTTGTAGTAAAGCAGATCTAAAGATTATGTTTGCATTTTCTGAATATATCTGTACGTGACAGGCATTGTTGTCACGGTTGTGTTATATTGCTGGAGAGTTTTGGTCAATTATGACACAATATGGAAACCTGCTGAAGGATTCCTTACCAGCTGAATGTGACATTTTATTATTGAGCAGTTTAAAATGACGTTCGAGTAGTTTATTCTATATAGTCCGATTATCTTTGGCATTATGTTAACAATTTTTATGTATACAAATTGAATTAATTCAAAGGAAACTTTTTAATATTTAAATCTAACCATTTAAATAATATATTTTACGTTTTTATATTATTAAAACTTTTAAATTTTATCAAAATGTATCTAATTAATTATGCCGACCAATAAGAGCGCTTCATTTCAAAATTTGTATATATCGTCTCTGATTGGTTAATGATCATTTTAAACTATGATTCTAATTTATTAATATTAAAGTAAAAAATAAGCAATTAAAATTAAATTAGTTATTTGTTATATTACTTATATATTTTAATATATTTAAAAATGTATATATAATATTTTAAATATTAAGCTAAAAATATTTTTAAGGAATAAATTGATATTTATTTAAATAATCTTTAGTAAATTTATAAGCTTAAACAAAACTTTTAAGAATAATTAATATTGTGTAATCGTAATTAAAGTATCCTATTCAACAGATATTTAGCAGTCCAAATGAAAACAAATTTGGTACGTGTAAGGCATTTCCCCAAAAGAACAACATTAGTACTAAAACTCGCCACTATGGCACTTTTAGCGCTACAAACAAGCGGTGTTTTTGCATAAACATACATATGTTCTGTGTATAAAAGTGGTAATAATTCTTGAATATCATTCTTATCAACTTGCTCAACTCTTATTAGCTTGTTCTTATCAATAGCCCTCAGCCTAAACTTTCTCAAAGATTAGGATGAGGACCATCGACTCAACAATCTAAGTTTCTCATGAAATGAGCGATTGACAAGAATGATATTCAGCAGTTATGGCCACTTTTTGTTGTTGACCACTTGTTAAGTCAATGGACGATTGACTCAACAAGCTCTCAGGAGAGTGATCATTCGATTCGAGGAAACTGGACGTGTGGGATGTCAATTCTATCGAGGACACAAATCTCTCACTTCACAAGTCATTGAAGATTAATTATCAACTTGCTGAGTAGTCAACAAATAATATTGTAGGCTCCAGTAGTACATGTGTAGTGTCACTGTAGTTGGATATACCCTGCGACAATCTGGAAGGCATTGTATTAAGAAAGTTGGTGTATACTTATCCATATAGGCAATGGCGCGTTATAGTTTCATGGGACCCAGGAAAATTTTGAATTAGGAGGTTCCGTGTACAGTGTTGACTTCAGACCTTTCTCTTCGGAGAAATTTTTTGGGGAATACTTCTGTATTGTTCGTTTTTTAACACAATCTTAAACACAACATCGCTACAGCAACTCTAATATTCTAGCTCGTTGGATGAGACACATTTTTACCAGTGACGAGGCACTGTGCAACAGTGATCACCCATAACACGAAATCTCTTGAAAAATATGAGGATTTTCCAACAGATTCCTCTGCGCTGCCACAGCCACTTTTATTTTTAAACCATTTTTCTTCCAAGAAGAAAAATGGTTTAAGGTATATCCAAATGGTATATCCAAATGGGAATACTCTGTGAAGACCCAGATGTACTGAGAGATGCTCAATCTTTTTATGATACTTCAACTGCAACAGCAAACAGTAGGATCAAATTTCATGGAGCTGCATACTACAGTTTCTGCCACACAATATCAGCTCGCTCACCTTGTTTTATAGATTTTAATCCGTGTGTGATTTTTGATAATGGGAAGACTAAAAATTGTAGTTTATCGAAGACATGTTGCAAATTTCAGCCTTGAAAGACAGTATCACAGTGCAGATGAAAATCATCACAGAAGATCAATTATGGCCGGCCTTAATTAAACATACCGTGATACTCTTCATTGTACCCATTCTGAAAGTACTGTGCATTGTGAATGTATATCTCAGAATGGTACATTGAGCAGTATCACGTGCATCGCTAAGTTTTCTGTATACCGCTGTCTTATACAAATGAAACGTTTGTTGCTTGTAGTGCCAAAAGTGCTCTAGTGGAAAATTTTCGAACTAATCTTTTGTTTTACGGATATGTCATCTGCATGTCCTAAAATGTCACCATACTAGATTTAATTGCATTTGGGTGCTAAAGAGACACTTTAATTACGATTACCCACTACATTTACTAATTAAATATTAAACAATAAATAATTAAAAATGCGTTTACGATATATTTTACTTTTAAATTATTCATTTAATATGAATAAATGCATAAATTTTAAATAATAAAATTTGCATTTATAAAATATTATAGAACATCATCAGTGCACGATTATATATAAATTAAATATATAATTTAATAAATTATAGAATATATTATGAATATTTTAATTTAAAACATTGAAGTTTTACAAATTATTCTTTTAAAAATAAGAAAAATAAAATAATACATTGCTCAGAAAATAGTTACTCTTCAGTTTTTCTATTCATATTTTTCAATATTAATTTAAAAGTTTATGATATTTAATAATACTTTTTATTAAAATATTTGAAGCAAAATAAATTTGAATTGAATAATACTTTATTCAATATTTTTTAAAATATCTGCATTTAAACATGATAAGAATCAATTTTGACCAAGATTATATAACCATTTAAACATAGTGATGGATAGTTCTATTCACTAGTTATAGGTAATTAGATGATTCTCTCTTCATCTAATTACTATTTAATCGTCATAAACGTTAAGTAAAAATTGTAATGATAATGATGATTAGTGATGTACAGTATTATTATTTTTTTCTTTAGTAGAAAATAATGATGATTAAATAGTAATAATTCAATATGATAATGTATGATGATAATGGTGATGATTTAGTACTTATTATCGTCAATTTAGATGAGTAGTGATTAGATAATGGGGATAACCATTTAATTACTATTTAATCATCATAAATACTAAGTAAAAATTGTAATTATAATGATGATTAGTGATGTATCATTTGATTTTTTTTTATTCAGTAGAACTTAAGTTGTGATAGTTCATTATGAAATTGTACGATTGATGATGATAATAGTGATTATTTAGCAATATGTAATCACCATCATCCATATTAATTTTTTTTCTTTAAAAAATACTCGATAATAAAAATCTTCATCAAGATTTCACTTCCAACTTTCTTTAACAAATTTGTCAGATTTTTTCTCCTTCTCGAGATAAGTTTAAAGTTTAAAAAATGACTTGAGGTAATCTCACCTTTCCTCATCGTTTCTGTTTGATTCCCGGAAGGTGTGCCAATCAAGTCGAACATTGACATTTTCATGTCCGGTGCTGTCACTACTGATCTTGCTGGATTCCATACGTATAAAACATCCTTTGAGGCATAACCAACTGAAAATATTAGATTTATACAAAAAGAAAAGAAATTCTTAAGTTACAAGAGTGAAAATTACAAGTGAAAGTTCTAAGAGTAAGTAAATCTGATTTTTTTGAAGCTAAAAAAACTACATCATGCATTCTATGAAGTGATGAGATGGAGATAATTAAGAAGAGAAATTGTAGTCTTTTATCATTGTGATGGGTGTTAGTTGGCAGAGATTACTCTCTTTTACCTGTTGGATGTTGTCATTAACGTCATCCACTTTCTTCTTTCATTTTGCTGGATGCGACTCCTGACCATAATCGCAACATCCGGAAGAAAGTGATGAGGGAAAATAATGCATACTGATAAGAATTATAACTAAAACTGATAAGAAGTGTAACACAAACTGATGAGAAGTTTGATGAAACCGATAAGAAATGTGTTGGAATAATAAGAAAAGTAACGCAGATTTTTTAAAAGAGTAATCAAAAGTGTAAGAAAATTAATGAAAACTGGTAAGTAAAGTTAAGTTAACATTATATATTTTGTAGTTATATATGTTATTTTTCTTTTACTTGCTTTCATTAACGTGTTTACCAAATGAACTGGCGAGAAATTTTAAGGGAACTCACTAAAAAAAGTAATGCAAACTGATGAGATTAGTGAAGTAAATTGGTAAGGAATGTAAGTCAAATTGGCAATAAATGTGGTGAAAATTAATAAAGTAACGTTAACTTGTAGGGATAAAAGAATAGATCGCAAACTAATAAGGAAAGCAAGGCAAACTGTTAAGAAGAGTAGCACAAACTAGTAAGGAAAGTAACATACTCTGCTAAGAAATGTAACGCAAATATAAAAAAAAACAGCTCAAACTGTTCAGAAGTAGTGTTAACAGGAAAAGTGACACAAACAAATACGGAAAATAGCTAATTAATTAATAAAAAACCAACAGTAAAATGTCAAAAATATAACATAAACAAGTAAAAAATTTAATAAAGATAAATAAAAATATATATTTATATAATATACACTAACACTAAAGCAATATAAACTGATTATAAATGTATTGAAAGTATTACTAATTTGATTATGCTGTACAGAAAATTTGTTCCAATTTATATTTATGAAACGTGAGAAGATGATCATTAACTCTTAATTTATCCCTTAAAGCAATATTTTCCACATTGTTTACTATTAAAACAAGCATTTTTAAACATTATATTTAATTGAAATTTATTAATAACAATAGCTAAAAGCGCTTTTATGTTGTTTGCTTTATTTATTAACACATAAATTTATAAATTTTTTAATTTAATTTATTTTAGAACGTAAACGTAAATTAATAATAATTCTATGAAATTTATATAATCATTATTATTTTATTTATTAATAAAAAACAAGGTCGAATAAATTGCTTACAACTTCCAAATTCCAAAGGACATTTCTGTTTATCCATTGGGAAATTTTCTAAATTCATGGGACAACTTGCTCTAATTGTTAACCTAGAAAAAATATTCTTTTGAACACATTTTTAAATTTATTTAATGTTAAGAAAAGTGAAGGAACCATGAACTTGAATGAATAGGCGCATTTCTCCTTTGTATCTCTTCCTAACTACGTAGAATCTCATGACCAAGAGCTTCTATGTAAAACTTCGTTTGCTGTGCGTAGACTCATGAAAACTATGGGCATATATAATGAAGATTATGCTTTTCGCACAAGCTTTACTAAAGATTATGATGATTTTTTTAATATAAATTATGTTTTAGTCCCATAGATCACGACTCCATATAAGCCTACAGAAGACACTACCCAAAAGACTCATGATTTCTTCAGTTTTTATCTGACTCACGATTCTTTCATGTAGACACGTGGCACAGTCTTATAGATCTTGAAGTCACAAACTCAATTTCCTTTCATCTGGTTTAGGCTTTCTTCAAATAATCACAACTTTTCCTTTAAATGTAGGCTCATTCATGGTTCAAGTTTTTTTCATGGTTCTTCTTAGAAGTCTCGTGGCTAATACTGTAGCTTAAGTGAAGCTCTTCTAGCAATTCTAGTGAAACCATTACCCAAACACATAATTAATTTACACAAAAATTAATTTTTTTAAAAAAATCTAAACATTTTAAATGAATTTTACTCCCGTTATACATATTTTAACAGAAAAAGAAGATCGTTTGTAAATCCACTGCAAGATTCTACAGACACGTTCATGGCTCCTCATAAAGGCCACAGACCACTTCATTTCTTTATAGATTAAAGAACAAAAAGTACGTATTTTTATGGAAATTTTTTAGATTGATCGTTACAAACCTTGAAGAATACAAAACTCTTCCATCTTGATGTAAACGAACGAATTTATTTGGTGTGGTAATCATATGTAGATAAGAATGTTTCCCATTATAGAAGTAAGTATCTGGTTTCCAAATTCTTTCTAACATGGAAATAGAAAGTGCTAAAGTAGACATGGTCCCCTTAAATGCTAATCTCTTATCAACCCAACTTTGACGAAAATAACAGTCCATAGAGTAACTCTATTACATAACAAAAAACAAGAATATTAACTTTTTTTTCTAAAATAATAAATTAATATTTATTAAAAATATAAACATCAGATCTAATAAATAATAAATACATTTTTTTAAATAAAAAATGAATAAAATAATTACCATATCAATCTCAGAAACAGGTCCCATACTACGAACTTCGATGTCAATTAATATTTTTGTTGGTGGACCTGAAAAATTTAAGTCTAATAATTCGAATTAACATTCTAATAATTAATTAAACATGTAAAAAATTTAATTTTTTAGAAATTTTTAAATACTTTAACGAAAAAATACAAATTTAACTAGCAGTCTCTCGATTTTTACGTATCTAACTCAGTTCTCTAGATTAAGGAAGGACAAACAGACAGACAGATGCTAGTGGGAATTTATAGCTCTACAATTTTTCAAAATAGCAGCCCAAATATTTCTACAAAAGGATTAAAAACGTCAAGCATTTTGAGGAATTTAAAAATCAAGTATTTTTATAAAAGGATTAAAAATATCGAGTATTATTTAGAAAAAAAAGTGAAGATCAAGAATTTTTTTAGAAAGAGAATTAAAAATATCAAGTGTTTTGTTAGAGGAGATTTGGGCTTGATCTTAATCTTGATTTAAAAGAAAACTGACCAACTTTTTTCAAAATACACTTAACTTTATATTGAAATTCTCTTCTAAAAAATCAAATAATTTTTTTAGAAATGAATTAAATTTTTTGTCTTGGAAGTTTTTTTCTAAAAGACAAAATTTCACAAAATTTAATGGCGTGTTTGTGTAGAAATTAAGCTTGTAAAAATTACTTAAAATCATAAAAAAATAATGTTTTTTTTTTAAGTTTCTATTAATAATAATTTCTAAAATTATTGAGTTTTAGACTTATAAAGAATAGAACTTTTAGAAGAAAATAAATTACAGTATATGCTCTCCACTTCAAATAGTAGTATCTTGCCCCTGTACATCATACCTTTCCTATTAATAAACCCTGTATATCATACTTTTACTGTTAGCAACAGAGTCATATTGGTCATGTACACTTTAGTAATTGATCATATGGTCCTTTCAGGGGAAAAGTTTTGAATTAAAATAGCGTAACTTCCGATTTGCATCGGAAGTACTATACGTACTGTACATAATTAATCGGGGCTTCCTGCCCATAAGCTTTTCATATTTGGGCTCGGCTTTCATCTATCTCACTTCGTTAATAACTTATTAATATTTTAAGAGAAACTGACCTTGCACTTGACCAACTTTCATCCAAAAAAAAGGGGGAAAAAATCAACTCTGTATCGATTTTAAAGTTCTTTTAACTCTTCTAAACTAAACAACTTTCTTAGTTTAAACTTTAAAGCTTTTCTTTGATTTCAAGTAAACTTTAAATTCATTCGAAATTCAACTTTGAATGTTCATGAGTACATGAACACGGGATTGATTTTATTTAATGGTACACAAGTATATAGAAAATCGCTGACAGAGCATTTAAAATAAATCCAGCCTACATCAGCTTTATTTGATTTACTTCGAGACGTCTTCTACAGTCATTTCTTTGAAATTTATACAAAAAAAAAGAAAAAATTCTGTACTCACCTCCAAAATTTGGACGTAAATGGTAATCGTATCCATGCATCAGACCATCTAATAATTCGGATATGTTTTGATTATATGCACTTTCTGATATGCACAATCTAAAATTAAAAAAAAAAAAAACAATGGTTAATTGACTTTTTACAAGGTGTTTTTTTAAGATATTAAGGTCTTTTAAACGTGGTTTATTTACCTAAATCCAGCTAGTGATATCAATATCAGATATACGACATGGATATAAAGAGCTAGAAAATTAGATGCCAGCAGCATGTTAGAAACGTATATCAATATGAGAGATCTCCTCTGGATGAATCAGAGGTGCATTCTTTCTTCATCTTCAGTAAATAACTTCAAAAAAATATATCAAAAAACGATTTTTTTTATCGTTTAGTAAATGTATAATAGGAAGATAGGTTTGTGATTTGTATTTATATAGGAGGATAAGTTTATTTTTAATTTTCTCTTTAAAAATATACAATAAAATAATAAATGATATAANATGTTTGGGGTTCACGATTTTGTTCCCCTAATTTGAAGCTTAATAACTCCTGTGTTTTTTATCGAAAATGTTTGAAAATTTTTAGGGAGGTTTGTTTATTAGACAGAGTGATGCTATTAAATTTTGGTAAGTAAAGATCAAGAGAGTGGGGAAATATAGGAAGTCACGTGTCATGTCTCGAGTGGGGTTGGACTTAGTGGCGATTTTACTAGTTATTAGCATTTACAATTTTTTTTAAAATAAAACTCATTACTAGCCTCAAAATTTGGCTTTTTGCCAGTTTATAAAAATTAATAATATAAAAAGTTTTTTTTTAATAAAATATCGCAATAGATGGCGCCACCACAATTTTAAATGTTTTTGTTGGGAAAGTTAAGCAACTAGTAGTGTTTGTTCTCCATTCTCTAATATAAGAAAATTGAAAAACTATATTTATATTATATATCACATAGAATAATGAAGCTTGTATATTTTTATGACTAACAAACAAACAAAGAAGATACAAACATGTGCTCCTTCTGTGTTTAAATTTTGTTCTGTCCTGAAGCACGTGTCTGTTGTTTGTCAAGCACACGGGAAGAATAAAATAAATTTCTTTTTTTTTTCAATAGTCAAAAAACAAAACAAATCTAAAAATTCGAAAAAATTAATTTATTCTATATTGTTAATATAGATTTAAAACTTATATTTAACAGTATAGGCCTATATATTTTATATATTGCTAAACTAAAAATACTGTACAGTATACTATTTTATATACCGTGTAACTAAAAAAAAATATATATATTTTTAAATATTTAAATTTAAAATAAAAACTATATATTTTGAATTTCGAAAATTAGTAATTAACAGAATTAAAATTTATATTTGAATGCAAAATTTTTACATGCAGTCGAAACCTCCTAACAACGTTCATTTCTCCAGAAACGTTTCTTTTTGAAAAGCTTAAAAATACTCTCTGAACGACGGCCATTTCTTTAGAAACATTCGTTCTAAAAAGCATATCAAAAACCTCTCAACAACGGACATTTTTTATATTCCCATCTGCAACTGTTGTTTAGAGGTTTGACTGTTTATGTTTGAAGACAGTGTTTCAGTTTATATTTCTTTTAATTAAAAAATGTATTATAAAAAAATAGTTTTTTTTAGAATTTATAAATGTTGTATTTCGAAAATGTAACTTTTTCGTGCAATTTATATGCTTAAAATTTTCTAAAAATATCAAAATTGTTTCGACAAGCGCGAAAATTCAATTGCACCTACGTAAAAATATATTTGAGAATTTTGTTAAATATACGAAAATTAATACAAAAATTGATTATATTTAAATAAATACACATTAAAACATTCTATATTTATCAAAAAGTAACCTTAAGTATTAAAAAAATACTTTATAAGTGATTTTTTTTGGAAGTATGTTCTATTCAATATATGAATCCAATGTATTTACGTATTTTCGTATAAATGAAAATATTTTTATTGTTTTTTTTTATGTTCAAAAACATTTATTTTTAATTTTTGAAGTTAAAATTATAATTATTTATCATTTTAATTGTGTAATTAACAGTATAAAGCATTAAAAATAATAATATAGACATTAATCTTATGAGAATTTTTTACAATTTATCCATATCGCATCCAAACATCCCTCAATTTGATAATCATGTATTTTAAGAGAGATTTAATTCGTTTAAAACAAAGATTTTCAGTCGATTACAGACTTTCTGATAGAAAAAGAGAACGATATAAAAGATATATTGTGAAATAAAATCTAGTTTATGAGATTTCTGAGCATAAGAGTTTATATAAATAAAGTTTAATCCGAATCAGTATCGATGGTAATTTAAAGGTTTTTGGAGATACTGTTTACAATATTCGATTGTTTTTTTCAGGTGCTTTTCGTTGTATTCAAAGGTTTTTGAGATGCTGTTCACCATACTCAAAGATTTCTGGGTTATTGCTCACCATATTCCAAGGTTTTTTACAAGTATTTTTGAAAAACTAGAGGTAAAAATTTCCACAATATCACTTTACCATGTCAGTTTATTGTATAACTGAACCGAAACAGAAGTTTCTATACTTTGAATTTGTGTCTTATGCACTTCCATTGTCCGAGGAAAATCATGTTTAAAAATAAAAGGCAGAAGGTATTGAAAAACTTATGAAATATTTTGCTGTAGAGTCAGCTGAGCAGTTCTATAGTAATGTTTTAGCTGAAACAAAGACAAATAAACATCATTCTCATGTCGAAATGTTCGATGAATCTTATAATTATGACGTATACAGGTGAATAAAATACCAAAATGAGTATTCGGTATAATAGTCTGATGTGTTTTTCTATAACATATATGAGTATAACTCTCAAAACTTGTTCTTCCGTAGAATGAATGAGTTTTAAGTGCGTCTAAGAATTTTGGTGGCAAGTATCTTGTCTTGATTAACAGTTGGATTTCCGTATGACATTGTTCCAGACACCTCCTTCGAACAACTTGAATTCTGCCAAAAATCCTAGTCTTTTTTGCCTGATAGTATTTGTCGTGGCTATAATTTGGCTATGGGAGGGCGGCGGATAAGTGGCGACCGAGATGATGTCATTAGACATCTGGCCACGAGACGCTTCAGTTATCCATGTAAAGCTCGTGAGCTGTATTGTGTTTCAGAATAAACTTGTACCCGTTGTTAGAGGTGTAGACTAATTGAGTATGTACAAACGTGTCATTTATACTACGATAAATGCCATATAGTATTTTGGCTTTTTGCAAAATTCATGAACAAAAACATCTTCATGAACAGAACGAGTTTTGGGATGGGCGCTTTATTTTTGTTGGTGCTTTATATAAGAAATTTTTAGTTTAAAAAAAATGTTAAAAAAACACAAAATTAATAAATTAAGTTTTGTATAATTTACGTTAATATGAATTATTTCTAAGTACTTAACAATTTTCATTTAAAACACGAAATTTAAAGAATACAAAGTCTCAAGGCAATTTGATCTATCAAAGTTCTTGAATTCTTGATTTCAAGAATATTAAAGTAAAATTCTGTTCTACTATATTCAAGATCTTGAAAGATACAATCAATCGAAATAAATCATTTTTGTCACATGACGAAATGGCAGTTTGAATGAAGGAACGTGAAAAAGCTTATCACTGAGTATCAATTATCTAAAATACGGCTTTCAGTTATTATTACAGAAGAAATATAGTAAAACGTACGGAATAGCTCACAGAAATGACACAAGCATTCTCACGCGACATCAATAAAATTTTTAAAAAATAATAAAGCAAATAAAAAACCGAGTGACCATAATTAAAGTGTCCCTATTTAGAGCACGATGTAACTGTAACCTCTGACACAAAATTTTGTTTGCAAAAGATACGGAAAAGGATTTCGTAAAAAAAAAATTAGTTCAAAAACTTTCGCTAGGAGCACTTTGGCACATATGATTTGGAACATGTTTCATCTTCGAAATGTTGCAACTTTGATAGACTTAAAGGATCGTATTAACATGCGCATGCGAAGCATCACTAGAAAGCAATTGCAGTCAGCTGTAGAAAACACTATTCATCATCTTTTACGTCTGAACAATGAGGCGCAACATTCCTTACATTAGTAAACAGCCTCTAAAGAAGGCATCTCCCTTGCTGAACGAATAGATGCGTTTTTGTTGTTTTATTTCGTTTGGTTTTCTGTAAAACGTTCCCTAGAATAAGTTTTTGAACTAAATTTCTTTTTCAAAATAAAATTTTTATCCTTCGCATAGTCCATATACAAATTTGGTGTCAATCCGTTCATTAATTACAGGTACAGAAGAGTCTGAATAGAGATATTTGAATTATAGGCACCCATGTACTATACTTTGAGAACTCAGTATTCGGCTGAATATTCGAAAATTTCTAAATCCTATAAAAAGTAAAACATTGACATTAGCAGTGTACTACTTTCTCGGTGCCATATTTAAAGTACAAAATCTGGAGAGAAGCCAATCCTTTCACCTACAAATGTCTATTGCAGGTAGACAAGATCGTATCAAATAATCCCGAGAAGATTTTTTACGGAAAACTGATCCCTATTTAATTGTTTCACAAGTGAAGAAAACCCGGAAAACTTCACTTGGTCACCCTATTGGTAAGGCTACCAGTGTCTAATGATTTTAATCACTCGGGTACTATTGGATTTAATTTAATCTTCTAGAGGCGCCTTCAGAAAATATTAATTCTAATTTAAATTATAACGATTATTATTTATTGTGACATCGTCACAATGTCAGGTTGCAAGTTTTCGTCACAATGCTCTCAATTTAACTACTGTCTTTCCCCTGTTATCCTGTTAACAATAGAGTCATGCCGGTCATATAACTCCGTTCAGGAAAAATGTTTTAAATTTAAAAAAGAGTTTCAAAAAATCTTGTAAAAAATTAATAAATTCATTCAAACATTCAAAAAATTTATGCTCTTATAAATTTAAGGATATTATCAAAAAATCGTAATTCTTTAAGTTATCTTTACACTAATCTTATGCAAATTTCAATTATTCAATAGTAAAATTGGATTTATTTAATGAAAAATAATATTTTAATCCAAAGAAATGAATCCAATAAGTTAAAAACACTAAAAAGATTATCATAAAAATATTATAAATTGAGTGTAGAATATAATAAAATTTTTTANAAATACAATTAAAAATATATATATTTATTTATTAAAAATTATTTTTTATTTAATAGAAAACTCAACGTTCATTTTATATCCATTTTTATTTGATTTAAAAACTTTTTTACAATTCAAAAAATGTTAAATGAAATCTCCACAATACTTTCATATGTATAAAATTTAATATTTTCTTCTTA